GTCAATTATAATACGCTCTCCAGGTCCTTTACTATTTAGCCTGGCTTCTCGCCTAATACGCCATTTCGACTTTACTCTACTATAGGCGTTACATTTAACTATAGGTATACCCTTAATACGCACCCCCTTAGCTCACTACACTAGGTGCTTAAGTGCGCTAGGTCCTAGATGGCCTAATTACTTATACCATGTCTCTACACTAGCGATAGCTACCCTACACTTTATGCGTAAATTAATCTTATATATAATAAAGGTTATACTACTACTTATAGTACATAATTACCCTCGGTCCATAGGTCTATTTTTAAGTACCCATTAACCGTATAGTTCTTAAAGCTCTATAATTACTATATTATCTACTCGTTTAATTACTATGGGCTCTAACTTAGTATCCTACCATAGTCCTTAACGTCTAAGTAGGCGAAACGACACTAGGTTATAGAGTAGATTAGGGCAGTATACTATATTATCTAGCCTAATTATGCTGTTACCACGCGTGCTCTTTAAACGTATATAGACGCTGCCGTATCCTTATATCTAAACTTACGTATTCCTAGCCCATATAAAGTCGCCTAGCCTTAGTGGCCGTAGTGCGAGAAATCGATTAACGTTATTAAAGATATGGCAAGTTATGCCTAAGTCAAGGATCACTAAGTTATAGAGTAGATACGTGTTTAGCTTAGAGAGAGTTGCTATATTAAAGCTTATATAGACTAACGTAACTTCGTGGCCATCTAGTTACTTATTACTTACCTCTATTAATCGGGTTGGCGTTGGCGTATAGGACTATTTAATATAAGGTGTTTATATTCGTGATCTACTTTAACCTTAAATTAGCCCTTAAAACGCACTATTATACTTATGTTTAAGCTTAATTAGTTCTCTAATAGCTAGTCTTGGTTTCCACCATACATGTGCTAGTTCCTTATAAAGATAAAAGTAGTCTTTGGCTATATGGCTTTATTTACATGCTAGGCATGGGCCTACAGTGTTTAAAGGCTTATTATATAATAGCTGAGAGGTCCCATATAGATACGCTCTCTTTCGTTTTAAGGGACATCCCTTAGATGGCGCGTATTTAGCATAAGAGGCGTCCCTATTATTACCCTAAGTGGTTTCACCACTATTAGTGAGAAAGGCTCCATTAGTTATAAAGGCCACTTTGTGCTTACTCTTTACACTAGGGTGGTTTACCATTATATACTCTTAAAACTATTTTATTATCTCCTTTCTAGTTATGCCGGCGGCGTATCTACCATAGTCTTAGAAGGCCATAGCCTATACGGGTACCACTTTATTAATAGCTACTAGAAAGTCCTTTGTAATCGCATTTAGTTACGTTACTTTAGTGACCCTATAGGTCTCCACTTCTATAGCTACCTAATCATATTTAGTAAGCCAGGTTTCCTATTAATTAACACTTCTCATTACTTTTAGAGCTATAAGATATCTATCTCTAGCATACTCTTATTCGAATTACTTATTAACGCCGGCAGTAAGCTTAAGACTTATAACCCATTAGCGGAGTGGCTAATTAGGTAGGTAGCATGTACGC